GCATAAAGGAGCTCTGGTAGCATAGTGGCTAAAGCACTTGACTGCTAACCAGAAGGCTGGTGGTTCAAACCCATGGCACATAACAACAACAACAACAACACAGGGTGTAAGAAGCTAAGTGCTAAGTGGCTCTCTGGTTAAGGTATTGGGCTGCTAACCAAAAGGTTGGCTGTTCGAACCACCAGCTGTTCCATGGGAGAAAGATGAGGGAGGCACACTGCTTCAGTAAAGATTTACAGTCTTGCAAACCCTATGGTGAAGTTTTCTCTATCCTATAGAGTCACTATGAGTTGGAATTGACTCAATGGCAGTGGGTTTTTATAGAGTGTAAAGGAAAAGTTTTCATAAGGACACACACCAAACTGATAACTGTGCTTCTCTCTGGAGAGTGGGGTAGAGGTCACTGGCAGTGCCAGGAATAACACATTTTTCTGTATCACATACTTCTATAGTTTTATATATAATTTTTACAGTAAAAAGGTGTTCCTGAATTGTTCAAAAATCTTAAGAACAGAACAAATACAGTATATACCTTTTTTTTGAATAATGGATTTATATACACACTAAATAACTATACGGGGTCAAATTTATACCCCCAAAGGTAGTGCAAAAATCTCCTTCTAAAACTCAGATGCTAAGTTTTCACTAAGAAAGCAACAAAAGAAATTTGAGGTGCTTATTCTATTAATTTAGGTAAATAATGCTAAATACAGAAAGAAAAACAGGGACAGGGGATAATGAAGGGAGACAGAGGGACAGGCAGTGAGAGAGAGAGAAAACACAAAGAGAGGCAAAGCAAGACAGACAGAGGAGAGAGGAATTGTCTATTGGGTCAGATTCAAAAGAAAATTGAAAATGTTCAGGATCATTACTAAGAAACAACCAAGTTTTTTTTTTTTTTTTTCCCGCTTTGAAGAAGCGGATGTTGAAGCTTTTAGGAAAAAAATCAGAGATGTTTACCAGAAAGTACTAAAAACCCCCACCAAATTTATTGCCATTGAGTCGATTCTGACTTATGTTGACCAACCATATGGGACAGAGTAGAACTGCCCCATAGGGTTTCTAAATCTTTATGGAAACTACCTCACCTTTCTCCTATGGAGTGGCTGGTGGGTTCAAACTGCCAGACTTTTGGTTAGCAGCCAAATGCCTTAACCAGAGTCCTGAGATGTTTACTAGGCTTTATATATTATAACCCAAGCTGTGATCTTTTCAATAACTTCATATGCATGTGAAAGCTGGACAATGAATAAGGATGAACATGGAAGAATTGATGCATTTGAATTGTGGTGTTGGCAAAGAGTATTGGCTGTACCATGGACTGCTAGAATAATAAACAAATCTGTCTTGGAGAGAGTACAACCAGAATGATCCTTAGAAGCAAGGATGGAGAAACTTCACTTCTCATACTTTGCACATGTTATCAGGAGGGACTGGTCCCTGGAGAAGGATATCATACTTAGTGAAGTAGATGATCAGCAAAAAGAGGAAGACCCTCAATGAAATAGATTGACACAGTGGCTGCAACAATGGACTCAAGCATGGCTATGACTGTGAGGATGGCGTGGGACAGAGCAGTGTTTCCTTCTGTTGCACACGAGGTCACGGTGAGTTGAAACCAAGTTGACAGCTCCTAACAACAACAACATATATTATAAATGAAAACAATTTTAAAAGACTAGCTTTATATGAGGGAGCTCTGGTAGCATAGTGCCTAAGGCACTTGACTGCTAACCAGAAGGCTGGAGGTTCAAACCTACCAGTCTCTCCTCAGAAGGAAGGCTGGGCAATCTACTTCCATAGTGATACAGCCTCAGAAATCCAAGGAGAGGTCACTTTGAGTCAGGTTTGACTCGATGGCACCGAACAACAACAACAGCTTTATATGATGTTGTCTTAGGCTGGGTTGTCTACAGAAGCAAAACTAGTAAAGCTTATATGTATGTATATACATACACACACACACACACACACACACACAAAGAGAGAGAGAGAGAGAGAGAGGAAAATTTTATTAAGGAAATGGCTCGTTCAGTTGTAGAAGCTGGCAAGTCCCACATCCCTGGGTCAGACATCAAGCCGGAGGCTTCTTCTAACTCTTGTAGCTGCAGGGGCTGACTAACCCAAGATCAACAGGAAATACAGCAGGCTGTAGGCTGAGATTGCAACAACCCAAAGATCGGCAGGCAATATGACAGGCCACTTGCTCAAGTCTAGGAACTGGAGGTCAGACAATGACAAGACTGATGCAGGATCCAGATTGAGCAAAAAGCCAGAATCTTTGCCAGGATGTCCACATATATTGGAAGCATGCCACACCCCCTAGGAAACCCCCTGTCAATTGATGGGCTGCTAATAGCAAATTTAATCATGGGAAATGACTACCTCATAACTGCTATACCACTGAGAATCATGGCCTAGCCAGGTTAACACACAACCTGAACTATCACAGATGCTTTATATTTTTTATAAAGAATAATCTGAATAATTAAGCAGTGTCCAACTCTGGGTTTTCATGGACTTTTAGATGCACATTTACCACATTAAGAGAAGACCTCTTTAATCCCACAGCCAATTCCCCAGTCTTATTCCTTATTCTCAATTCAGTCTAGAACTGGTTCTTGAGCAGCAAGACTGGAAAAAGTTTGAGGAGGGCAGAGGGCCAGGAGAGCTCACAGGCCATTCCCCTCTTCTACTGCAAATGCTGCTTTTTTAGGCCCTTTCTGTAATTAAACCCTAGTTTACTGACAGTCTGTCAGAAAAGTTAAACATTCATTTCTTTTTACACTTAATGATTCAATGAATTAAGTGCCCATTTTCCCTTTGTGGTCTGAATGAAAGTAAAGAGCACAATTTTTAGGTCAGCAGAAGTCTAAAGTTATAGGAACCTTAAAGAGACAAGATAGGCATTTTCTTGAGGAACTGAAGGATTCAGGAGAAGCCTCCAGATTCTTTCCTATTCTGCAGTTTATTCAAGAATAGCAAAACTTTAGTCTCAAGTAGCTGAAAACAGGAGCGGAAAAGCTAGCATGGAGGGCGAGTTCTTAGTACCCTATGGAGAGATGATCTTGAGATAACTGACCAATGACTCAAGGAATTTAAACCAGCAGGGTAAACCTTTTCTGGGATAGGCATCTTGGCCAGGACACCTGTAACTGGAGCCCTTGCCTCAAGTTGTAGGAGTCACCCTTGCAGCTATAGAAAATCCTGCCATTCAGAAAAACACAGGTGTTAACCAGATTGAAAGTTCAAATAGCACAGAACTCAAAATTCACACACCTCAAGGTATTTCGCTATATAGAGCAGAAGATTCTAGAACCAAGCTTTTCAGTTCATTAGCTATAAGCCACATGTGGGTATTTAAATTTAAATCAATTAAAATGAATTACAATTAAAAAAAAGTTCAGTTCCATGGTCACACTAGCCACATTTCAAGACACATGTGGCTACCATATATTGAACAGCACTGGCATAGAACATATTCATTATTGTAGAAAGATCTAAAGAATAGCACTATTCTGGAATACTACTGGCACAGATGCATCATGGGTTAAGTAGGCATACATGAGCTGCTCTAGCCACTGTTGTTGTTGTTGTTGTTATGTGCCGTCATAGCGACCCCTCCTTGGGTTTCCGAGACAGTATCACTACGGAAGTAGGATTGCCCAACCTTCCTTCCGAGGAGTGGCTGGTGGGTTTGAACCGCAAGCCTTCTGGTTAGCAGTCAAGTGACTTAGCCACTATGCTACCAGAGCTCCCACTCTAGCCACTACTCAACACAATTAACATATTTAAGGAGAGACATGCCTTATGGATGAGTTAAACTAACTCAAATTGGAAACTATCTTTAACCAGGCTTTCTACTCAACATCCTTGAAATTTTAATTTATGTCATTATTGGTATTATAATTAAACAGATAAGAAACTTAAATCAGAGTGATCAACTGACTTGCCTCAGGCAATTCTTTATCTGTAACTGCAGCAGAATCTCAAGTATTCTTTTCTCTGTATACTTATTACCCACAAGGTTCCAAGAATCCTATCTGCATAGAACCTGAGGTAGTTAGCTCCTTGCATAGATAAAGTACTCAGTAAGTATTTGTTGTATCAATGAATGAATGAATGAATGAATGAATAGGCTGCAAGGAGGAATGAACAGTAACACAAGGATCCCTAGGTGGTGCAAACAGTTAAAGTGCTCTGGTGTTGGAGCCCTGACTTGATGGCACCTAACAGCAACAACAGTGCTAACCAAAAGTTTGGAGGTTTGAGTTCATCCAGAGGTCCCTCAGAAGAAAAGCCTGGAGATCTACTTGCAAAAAACGAATCCCCTGGAAACACTCTGGAGTACAGTTCTACTCTGACACACATGGGGTCGACTTGACTGCAAACTGGTTAGGAGTGAAACAAGGGAGAACATGACCAACAGCCTCAGTCTCAAAAGCAAAACTGTGATCATGAAGTGTTAAGGGTAAGCTGCAACTGCAACCAGTCAGTTCTCATAAGACATCTGATATCTGATGCCTCCTTTATTCTTTATTAATGCTGCTATCTTTCATTTTTGCCATTTTAAATTATCTAAACCTAAAGGCTTCCCTACCCACTCTACCACACCACCCCATTTTAAACAAACCACCTGGATTTGTTTATAATACATAGGTCCACTTCATAGGGACTCATTTGCCCTACCACAGAGTTTCCCTCACAGTTTATATTTAAGTAAATTCTCTGTATATCCTGCTCATAAAAATTTGTTCCATTGCCAAAGAAATTACTCTCCAACATCCACAAAGAAAGGAATAAATATAATGTTGATATAAGATTGAAGCAGGGAGATCAAGAATGAAGGGATTGTAAAATTTTGCACTGTGTTTGTCTGCCTTAGTTTCTCTGAAAGCTAGAATGTGACCAGACTTTTCAGACGGTTTTCCATTCCCCCCGCTCCACCACACACACCCAAAAAGAAATCAAATCAGAACACTTCTTGAGTCATTACTTACAGAAGATTCGCTGGCTCCAAAGATGTCCCTGACATCCCTGACAGACTGCTTATTCTTTTTTCTCATGGTCTGGGTATAGGTGTTATATCTCTTTTTCACTGCAGCCGCTTGGGTTCGAGTCAATGTAGAAAGCAAGGCTTTCCCATCTTCCTCTTCATCACCTGAGATCAGAGTTGATAAACCCACATCTTGCAACCATTCTGCTTCAAGTTCTCCTTCTGTAAAATAACATTATCAAGAGAAAGCAACATATTAGGCATGACAGGATGGCATGCGTATTTGGAGGTCTGTGCATATAAAACAAGAAATAGCCTTAAGCAATATATTAAGGCTGTCTTTTTGAACAGACACTTCAATGAATAAGCATAACAAAGAATACATACTTTGTGAAAAACAGTTTGGAAAAGTCACAAATGGATGGCTCAAGTCCTCAACAAGCAAAAATAAGCAATCACTCCCTGAGGACCAGAAGCATTCGATTTTAAGTCAGCACATTATAATACTCAGACCGTCTGGTCCTCATTCTCTCTCTCTCTCTCTAGTATTATTATACTTTTGGTTTGTAATTCCTCTTCTTTTCTTTGATTTAAAAGGTAATAAACAAAAATTAAAAATCTATGTTAATGGGCACACCATGCATGAAAATGTCATCTGTTGACAATAACACTATAAAGAGGGAGGGTAAAGGTATAGGAGCAGAATGTTTGCTATTGAAATAAACTGGTGTTACTCAAACTAACTTCTTAAATGTTTACAACAGTTGCAATCCCCAAAGTAGTCGCTAAGAAAATAGCTAAAAAATACATACAGAAAAGAAGAAGGAAGTCAAAAAGGTCCACTATAAAATTCAAATTAATAATGATAATAAAAGAAAAGCAATAAAGGAGAATTTGAAAGGAAGGAAAACACCATGTAAGACATACAGAACACAATAGCTAAATGGAAGAAGCAAATCTTTCCTTACCTGTAATTACCTTAAATGTAAATGGAAAATTGTCTTTTTTTCCCAGTTATTACAGAAAAGTCCTGTGAGAATGAAAGTTTGTACTGCAATTTTTAAAGAAATCAAATTTTTAAATATTTTCTAGTAGAGTAAGATTGCTAATTGAGAAATGTGCTAAGATTAAATAAATTATTTTCCTTGCCAGACTACACTCATTTTTCAAAAAAGATAAAATATGAATATTTGAACTAAAGCCATAACAGAAAAAAAGTAGATTAATAGAACACAAGAGGATTTTTAATTACCCAAATGCAGGGTGAAATCTCAGTGCCACCATTTACTAGCTGGGTGGCTTAGGTAATTTTTATGATAATAAAATCTAGGCATCAGTGTCCTCTCTCCAAAAGGGAGGTAATAATGACAAAAGCGTTGTTACTGTGAGGATTATTTTATCAACGTATTTATGACAGATGGCAAATAACCTGGAACAAAGTAGATGTTCAATAAATGTCCTTTTACCTTTCTCCTTAGCCTAAACATCAGATAATCCATTCAAAAGCCAATTCAAAAGCTTAGAATTAATCACAATGAGAATTAACTGGTATTATAAACTAACCAAAACAAAACTCACTGCCCTTGGGCCGGATCTGACTCATAGCCACCCCTCCTTGGGTTTTACAAGTAGATTGTCCAACCTTCCTTCTGAGGAGTGGCTGGTGGACTGTAAACTAGATGGACAGAAATGAAAAGAAAAGAGAATAACAATGCCTGTAACAGAGAATTCATTACACTTACCTTACATTACACAACTGTGCTATTGAACAGGCATTACATGAATGAGGTTTGTTTAAAGAGCAGATTAGACTGATTTGTAAATAGCATATCAAAGCATCAGTCAGGAGTCCTGGAGTCCTCTTACATTATCACTTCATTTGTATATAAACAAAGATTTCTAAGTATTTGATAGGTCTAATCTCTTAGCTAAGTAAATATTTTATTTCATATCATGTTTTTATTGTTCATTAGCTTAGTAAGCTTTCCATTTCACAGAACATTCAAAACCAAACCAAAGTCACTCAAGTCAATTTGACTCACAGCGACCCCTCCTTGGGTTTCCCAGACAGTATCTCTACAGAAGTAGATTGCCCAACCTTCCTTCCCAGGAGTGGCTGGTGGGTTTGAACGACCAGTCTTCTGGTTAGCAGTCAAATGCAAAAGTGCACATACAGAACATGCAAAAAGGTATACTTAAATAGCAGCCCAAATCTAAAGCAATAAATATTTCTTATGAGCGAATTTTACTTGGACGTTTTCCTTAAGCTTTAGATTCTCATTTCTGAAGATAAAATTTTACAAATATAGTATAAATATTCAAGACCTTCATTTGCTGATGTGGCACCACTCAAACTGAAGAGAAACAGCCGCAGACATCCATTAATCATTGGAACATGGAATGTACGAAGTATGAATCTAGGAAAATTGGAAGTTGTCAAAAAGGAAATGGAACGCATAAAGATTGATATCCTCGGCATTAGTG